TATTTAGAAACAAAACCAATTATCATATTCCACGGTATTATTTTGCATAAGTATATCATTACTGCTTTCTAGAGTTATTCTTTGAACACATATGCATAAATAAAAGAATTACAACATTTATACAGGTACAGAATTAGTACTACCTATGTATAATGTGCCTTCTTGTTTTTCCCTCAAAAATTTCATCAAAAAAGTGGGCATTATACACGGCAAAATATGGTAGTCGCCTAGACCTATCAATTAAAGCTAGGATAAACTCTTTAATACCTGAGTTCTCCTATCATTTCCCCCAGTTAGTTTTAAAGATCTTATTTCTGTAGGGTTAGTTTACAAATGAAAACAACATAAGATTAAAAAGCTACACAATTTTTGAAGACTGGCTGGCTTCTGCCTCAAAGGTCATCCCCTCTAGAACACCCAAAGAAGAATAAACCTGCCACCCTCTTCCAGGCCAGCCCAACCCTAGGCTGTGCCTTCCCACCCAAAATACCTTCTCCTGGGAAACGCAGGCAGCTGTAGCACAGTTATCCAGGTACACTCCAGGAAGAGTGCCAGAGAGACAGAACCTGCCAGTGCAGGAGCTGGAGAGCTAGAGCCCGGAATTTTCTAAGAAAACTAAAAATGAATATGCCTTTTGACCCGGCAATTTCACTGTTAGGAGTATTCTTAGGAGCCTAAGAATTCTTAGGAGCCTAAGGACCCTGAAACACCAATCCAAAATAACCTATGCACCCCAATGTTCATAGCAGCACAATTTACAATAGCCAAGAGTTGGAAGCAACCTAGGTGCCTATCAGTAAATGAATGGATCAAAAAAACAACAACAAAACCATAGTACATTTACACAATAGAATTCTATGCAGCAGAAAGAAAGGAGATACTACCCTTTGCAACAGCATGGATGGAACTGGAAAGCATTATGCTGAGTGAAATAGGCCAGGCAGTGAAAGACAAATACCATATGATCTCACCTTTAACAGGAACCCAAACAACAAAACAAACAAGCAAGCAAAATAAAACCAAAGACACTGAAATACAGAACAGGTTGACAGGGACCAGAGGGGAGAGGGGAGAGAATATCAGGAGAAAAGGGGAAGGATTCACAGGAAGAAGTATAAAGAACACATGGACTAAAACTAAGGTGGGGTGGGAGGGAAGGGAGGGAGGTGGGGAGGATTGGGGGGGTAGGCTGGGATGGAAGTAAAAGACAGAAAACTGTACTTGAACCATAACTAAATTTAAAAAGAATTTTTTTAAAAAGTAGTAATTTTTATTCCGCCAAGATGGAGGCATAGGTGGATACGCTGTGCCTTCTCTCACAACCAAGTTTAGAGACAACTTAATATTAGCAACAGAAAACACAGCCAGAACACAGAAAGTTAAACTTTTCGGAAGTCTGATAACAACAAATTCTTCAGCCTGACCGGTAAGGGGCGAAACCAGCAGCTGTCAGAGTGGGGTTGCACAGAAAAACTCGATCAGATGGACTCAGGTGCAAGGAACCCAGGCACAGGGTTGGACCTAGTAAGCGACTCAGCAAGCAACCATGGGGAAACAGCAAGGAAGCAGGGCTGCGGGTTACCTGTGGTCACACTTTCCTGCACAGACAGACAAGCGAGGGAGTGGGCGGTGAGACTACGAGACTGAGCAGGCCCCATGGCAAGTGGCAGCACAGGGCACCGCCATTTCCCCCCTCTGACCCCGCCTCCACATGCAGCATCATTACCCAGCGACCTGAGTGGCCCTGCCCTGGTGAACCACCTAAGGCTCTGCTCCTCACCTAGCAGGGAGAAACAGCATAGGAGGTCGCCATTTCCCCGCTCTGACCACGCCCCCACATACAGCGTCACAACCCAGTGACCTGAGAGTCCAAGGCTCCGCTCCTCATACTTAACGGGCACAAACAGACCAAAAATGGCTCCAGAAGACCTCAAAGCCCCAGAGCCTATAAATCTAAGCGATGAAGAAATAGCAAAACTCTCAGACGCACAGTTTAAAACACTGGTGATCAGGATCCTCACAGAACTGGTTGATTATAGCCACAAATTAGACAAACATATGAAGGCGAAACTAATTGAAATGAATGGAATTGGACAGGAAACCAATAGCGATGCAAAGGAAACTGGGACTCAAATCAATGGAGTGGACCAGAAGAAAGCAAATAATGGCCAAACAGAAAAATATGAAGAAACAAGAATTCAAAAAAATGAGGAGAGCCTTAGGATCATCTTTAAACACTCCAACATCCAAATTATAGGGGTACCAGAAGGGTGAAAGGAACAGCCACCAGTGGAAAACTTCTTTGAACAAATAATAGAGGAGAATTTCCCCAATCTGGCAAAGGAAATAGACTTCCAGGAAATCCAGGAAGCTCAGACAGTCCCAAACGAGTTGGACCCAAGAAGAAACACACCAAGGCACATCATCATTACATTAGCCAAGATTAAAATGAAGGAGAGAATCCTAGAAGCAGCAAGAGATAAGGGGACAGTCACCTACAAAGGAGTCCCCATCAGACTGTCAGCAGATTTCTCAAAAGAGACCTTACAGGCAAGAAGGGGCTGCAAAGAGGTATTCCAAATCATGAAATCCAAAGACCTACAACCAAGACTGCTCTGTCCAGCAAAACTTTCATTTAGAATGGAAAGACAGATAAAGTGCTTCTCAGATAAGATCAAATTCAAGGAGTTCATCATCACCAAGCCCTTATTATATGAAATGTTAAAGGGACTTATCTAAGAAAAAGAAGATAAAAAAATATGAACAGTGAAAGGACAGCAAACTCACAGTTATTAACAACCACACCTAAAACGAAAGCAAACTAAAAGGACAGCTAGGTCAGGAGTGGAAACATAGAAATGAAGATCTCAAGGAGGGTTAGCAATAGGGGAGTGGGAGGAGGAGAAGGGGAAAAAAGGTACAGAAAATAAGTAGCATAGACAGTAGATAGAAAATAGATGGGGGGGGCAGGAATAGCATGGGAAATATAGACTCTAAAGAACTTGAGACACATGGTCATAAACTAAAGGGGGAGTAATGGTGGGGACGGGGGGGGGAGGGTGGAGGGGAATGAAGGGGGGAATAGAACTGTAATGGCATAATCAATAAAAAATAAATAAATAAATAAATAAAATAAAAAGTAGTAATTTTTAGTATAAGTATGTCCTGTGCTTAATTTGAGATAATATATATACTTATATACATATATAATATACATTAAGTAAAATTATATACATATGCACATATATGGTCTGTCCAGATGGTATCCAGGCATGTAATATGAAAAAGACATTTATTGAAGATACAAAATACAAGAAGCATTGTAGTTTGGACAATGACACCTCAGTTCCCTTCAAAGAAGGCATCTTGGGACCTCAGCCAGAAGTCCCAGGGCACCAAATCTGAGCTGTAAGGGGCGGGGGGGGGGGGGGGCGGCTGAATCACCTGGGTGATTTGGTATTTCACCAAAAAACTCTGCACTAGAATGATGCATGAGTGAGTACGTTGTCATGATGAAGCTGCCAATCACCAGCTGCCCACAGCTGCAGCCTTCTGAATCATCTGAATAGTTTCTATGGAGGAATGTTCACGCTTAATGCAAAATTTGATACAGATTCATTGCTCTACTCATTTAGTCATTTTGTATGCAACGGCCACATAGTACACACGCTCACTCAACTGCAACTACCTCCCCACACAGAGGACTAACACAGAGAAGTTGTCATCGTTCACGCATGCGCACTCTAGTCCACTCTCTTTGGCTGCCAGGTTACACTGATGTTGCGCAAACCATCCTCATTATATTAACAATCGCTAAAGTTTTTAGATATACCTCATATATTTGTGTAAGTATGTAAATTTTATCTGAAATTTAAATTAACTTTCTGTATTTTTCTCTGGCAACCCTAGAAAAAGAGGAGCCAAGAACTTTAAGACAAGCCCATGAACTCCAGGAGAGACTACTGCAGGACTTCTGGACTAATGCTTTCTTTATATATTTAACTTTCTAAAAATCTTGTTTTAAAAAATATCTAACTTTTTTTTGTGTGGTAACATAAACACAACAAAAAGTAACATTTTAACCATTGTTAAATGTACAGTTCAGTGGCATTAAGTACATTCATGCTGTTGTGCAACCACCACCTCCATCCATCTCTAGAACTTTTCCACCTCCTCAAACTAACATGCCAAAGAAAACCAGAGCTAATAAAAAAGAAAGAAAGAAAGAAAGAAAGAAAGAAAGAAAGAAAGAAAGAAAGAAAGAAAGAAAGAAAGAAAGAAAATCTGAACTGCACAAGCAGTTAAAGTGATGAAAATGGATTTTTGTCAGGACTTTGCAACAGGGTAAGACCTCAGTATAGAACTGGGGTCAATTATGAATACAGGATGGACAAGTGGGGATTTATAACCAAGAAAGGCGGTTTGTGGTCCTGGATGGAAAATTCCTAAGAGCTTAGGTTAATTTTTTGCTAAACTGACTTGAGAGGATTCTTGCTGAAGGCAGGCCAGGGTGACCAGATACCACCTGGGATATCTTGGGGATGAGGAATTTGGTCAGACAGGCAGGGTGAGGGATTCTCGCTACAATTCGGTGATGCAAGTAGAGGCCTCTCTGACTAAAGTTTGGTCAAACAGAGAGTCTCTGGTCAGAAACTGCACCCATTAAACAATAACTCATCCCATCCCAAATTGCTTCCCCGTCCCTGGCAACCGTCATTTTACTTTTGCCTCTATGAAATTGTCTCCTCTAGCTACCTTATATAAATGAACTCATACAGTATTTTTCCTTTTGTGTCTGACATATATTTGGTTTTTAAAGGGAGAAGGAACTAAGTGAATTCTATGGGGAGAACAGCCCACAGAAGTCGAGACGAGAAAAGGGAATGCTAAAAGACGTACTAAACAAGTCAAGTGCATCCGGCTTCAGGGGAGGAGTCTGTTTCCAATGCTGGTACTCAGGGTGGGGCACCGGAAGCACAACGGACTAAACAAGGGAGTCCCTGAGCGCAGGGCAGCTGATGTCCCAGGTCCGGGCAAGCGGGGAAGGCGGTGAGGGAACACCGGAGGGTGCCGAGCAGTTCGCAGCGGCTCCGAGTGAGGGTTCCGCGCGGGAGTCCAGAACTTGGGAGTCCAGCGAGCACCCAGAGGCAGAGCACAGAGAAACGGCGGCGCCAGGACCCGACAGCGAAGAGCAGCAATCGCGGGACGGGCAGAGCAGGTCACCCGTACCACTAGGACCGCGCTTCCGTGGGAAGGGCCACGTTAGGCCGGCGCCGGGTTATGGGGGCGGGGGGGCGGGCCTAGGCGGGGTTCCGGGGAGGGCCAGGCGCAGACCTCAGCTTCCGGGGGGCTGTGCGCGAGCCGGAGTTGCGGAAGGGACCGCACAGTTGACGCCCTGGTTGACTTCCGATTGTGCCGTTTGCGTTGCCGCCCACCAGTAAGACGGGTCTCCAGCCCTGTTGGTCCCGGGCTTTTCTCCCCGAGCGCTGGAGCCCTCCCTCAGCTCCGACCCTTCCCAGCAGGGAGATCAAGGCCCGGGCGCCGGTGGGCCCGGCTGGACCACCGAGATCAGAGCTGCAGGCCGCAGCCCTCAGCCCTCATTTCCTCTCGGCCCCTCCCCGAAACCCTCACGTGCCTTTCCGCTGTCGGGCTTGGCTCTGGTGAAGGACCTGGCTGCATTGACTCCTCAGATCTTTTGCAGCTCCCTACCCTGATTTCGGCGGATTAATGCTCTTACCTCCCTGGCCCCTCTTAGTTGATTCCATACTGCCGACAGAATAGGTTTTTGCCCTGGGATGTAGACATTGGAAGCTAGGTATTTGGGAGGGTTGGATTTCATGCACTTTCGAAATTATTAACAGCATTATGAGAGACGGGTATGGTGTAGATTCGTTTTTCTGAAAGCGTCTAGTTTTACCAGATTCTCTAAGGTAGTGCAGGTTGTTTAGAAATATGTGAGCTACATTACATATGTGATTTTGAAAGTAAAAAGAAACCAGTGAAATTAACTAAGTAATATATATATATTTTTTAAGTCAGTATAGGTAAAATATGATCATTTCAGCATGTAATCACTAGACATACAGTCGTGTCTGTCCGTCCGCCCCCCCCCTCCCTACTTAACCCTGGGTTCCCTTTTTGCCGTCTCAGTTAACCCGCGGTTGGGTCAACCGACTGTTTGAAAATATTAAAATGGAAAATTCGGGAAATAAATTTGCACCTCATTCTGAGGAGCATGATGAAATATCGTAGGTGTCCCACTCAGGCTCTGCCCTGCCTGGAATGTGCACTCTCCCTTTGCCCAGCATGTCCATGCTGTAGATGCTCCCCCACCCCTTTAATCACTTAAGAGCCCACCCGGTTATCAGATCAGCTGTCAAGGTATCGCAGTGCTTGATTTCAAGTAACCCTTATTTTGCTTAATAACGGCGCCAAAGCCATTCACATTAACTTTTACTGTAGTATCTTGTTATAATTGTTGTTAATATCTTACTGTGCCTAATTTATAAGTCAGACTTTATCATAGGTGTGTGTGTATATATATGTGTGTGTGTGTGTGTGTGTATGTGTATGCAGGTTTCAGTACTGTTTGAGCCTTTAGGCACCCACTGTAAGGGGGGGTCTTGGAACATATTCCCACCCCAACCCCCCCACTGCCCACCCCATTGAATAAGGATTGTAAGAAATCTTAAGACATTCTTTTTTCCTATTAAGTCTTTGAAATTTGATGTATATTTTATACTTCTGCTACATCTCAACTCAGAGTAACCACATTTCAGAAATGCTCAGTAGCTATAAGTAGCTAGTAGCTCCCGTTTTGGATAGCACAAGTGGAAGGAGATTAGTCCAAACTCCTTATCATGGTATTTAGTGAGTTTACAATCTGACCCTTATCTTTGTTTTTCCTGCTACTTGCCCAAGGATAGTTATACCCTTACCATTCAAGACCACTTGCCATTACCCTATAAATCTTTGTTCAGCTCTTGCTTCTACCTGGAATGCTCTCCCTGGGCCTATTAGGAAGGTTCAGCTTTTGCTAAGAGGCTCTTCCTGAGTCAACTAACCTGAGGAGGGGTTTATTACACCTTCCTAAGATTTCCCTACTACTGTATACATGGCTGGATTAGAGCAGTTATTACATGCTGTTTAATTGTTCTTGAGGCTGTCTCTTTGGCTATTACAGTTTCCTCTTCATCTTTGTTGTAATGGTAGGCACCTAATAGTTGACCAGTAGATGTTTGCAGACAGAATGAGTACACAACCAACCAGTCATACTCACTCTCTTCGTTTCATTCTCTTCATTCTTTTTTTTTTTTAATCCTCACTTGAGGACATTTTTTTCATCCCTTCAGAGATGGAGGAAGGGAGAGAGAAAGAAAGAAACATTGATGCAAGAGAAACATCAGTTGGTTGCCATCTTGTAAGTGCCCCAACCGGGGATCAAACCCATGACCTTTCGGTTATAGGATGATGCTCCAACCAACTGAGCCACCCCAGCCAGGCCAGTCTCTTCATTCTCGAATGGATCTGTTACTTCTTTATCCGGGAGATTTGTGCCTGAATGACCACCTTGTATGAGTGTACATACACACACGGATGCGGATTCAAGGCAGGTTCAGGTCTGAGAAACTGAAGATGCCACTGCTGGAAAACAAGTTGGAAGGCCAGACAGTCGTCTGAGATGACCAAAAGTGCTGGCCTGAGAAGGGCAGGAGAGGACAAGTGGGATAGAAGGGAAGGCTGGGAATGCTTGCAGAAAGAGCAGAGAAGTAAGCATACCTGCTTGAAGATGTTGGTGCAGTACATTGGGAATAACCACTTAGAGAGCAGTGCCACTTTCAATCTGTAGAATGGGAAATAGAATCAGATATTCAGAGAAGGCAAGCAACCTACACAGGATCACACAGCAGTTAAGCTCAAATGAAGTCTCCTCAGCCCTCCCTGCCATACTTAACATGGACATAGTGACAGGCCTGATTAATGTCTTCTTCACCATCTTCTACCAAGAGGCTGCGATTAGGCCTATTTATAGGGGCCTGGTACCTTAATATTCTGCCTGGTGCATCTCTTGCCAATCAAATCAGTGTGTTCTACAGTGTGATTGCTGCTTTAGTGGCACTAGGGAGTGGAGTTAATTAAACTCAGTATAAATAGACTCTGCCCTGTCTTACAATTTGAAGGAGTGTTCTTCCTGTTTTCCTGCCCCCACATGCCCCTTCTTCCTCCTGGACCCCTTTAGCTCTAGCCTGGGTGAGCAGTGCCAAAACACCTGTACCTAGAGTCATTAGCCACACTGCCTGTCCTATCTCAGGAGCAGGTCCTGAGTTCCTCATAGGGCAAAGTGAGTAGAATCCAGGAGTCCACATTCTCTGGTTTTCCAGACCTGGGTATCATTGAGCAGTTAAGTGAGGCATTTTTTTTCACTGTGCAGCAAAGGATTCTTTCTTGTTCATTTGGCTTAGGAGGTTGGAATGAAGTAACATAATGAGGGTACCTAGCAGGGTCCCAAGCACCTAATAGGGATAATCATTGTTGTAGCTTCTTTGAATCTTTCTCATCAACCTCTGTTGTCCCTACAAATTTCACTCCTTCATTCACTCACTAAGCAGCAGAAGACCAGCTTCTGTAGGCTCCTGGCCTCCTGTCAATGCTATATCCCTACCTGCACAGGCTGAGCCTGTGGTGGACAGTTGGGTGAGGGGCTGGGCTCTCTTTTCTTGTTACCTTAAGGCACTGGGGTAGGTGTGGCTCTGATGCTCTGGTTCCACCCACAGGCACCATGACTCCTGTGAGGACCCAGCACTCATTAGCAGGTCAGACCTACACAGTGCCCCTCATCCAGCCAGACCTGCGGCGAGAGGAGGCCATTCAGCAGATAGCGGATGCTCTGCAGTACCTACAGAAGGTCTCCGGAGACATCTTTAGCAGGTGGGTGCTGCTGGCCATCCCCACCTGATCCGGGGCTTCTCCCTGCCCTGGGAGTCATCTCTCCATTCCCAGTAAGGCACCCTCTAGAACCAGGCCTCTGGTAATTCTTGGGCACAGGGGAGCAAGGGACAGTTGGCTTCCCTGTGCCCAAGAGACCCAGCTTAGAAGTTTTTTCTCACAAGAGCTGCCTCCTGTCCCACTTAGATCCCTGGGTTCCCTGTGGCCCCCACCAGCCCTGGTGATGGTACTGCTCTTGTAACTCCTCCTCACACTGGGGGTCCTGTTTCTTCACTTATTCCTGCAGTTAGCAAATATGTATTCAGTACTTCTTGTGTGCTGCTCTGCTTTATTACAGCAGTGAATAAGGTAGCGTCGCTGTCCAACTAGAGGATATACTGTGGCAGGAGAGATAGGCTGTAATTAATCAATTGCATGTTAGTTTATAATTACAATTGTGATAAGACCTATTTTTAAATGATTTTATAATAACTAGTATTTATATAGCATTAACCATGGACCACCATTGATCTGAAATACACTAATTTATATAGCCCTCACAACAACTTTATGAGCAGCTGCTGTTCTTATCTCCATTTTATAGATGAGAAAACTGAGGCACAGAATAGCTCAGTTCTGCCGAAGTGGCAGAGCTGGGGGTAACACCGGGTATTGTGGCTCTAGACTCTGGAGCTTTTAATGTCTTTCTATAAAGGGAAGGGGAGGGGAGGCCTGACTCGGTCTGGGGGGATCAGAGGAGGCATATGTAGGGGAAAGATTTGTGGTAAAATCTGAAGGATGAGTGAGAATTATTGTGAATGGGTGGGTTGGAAAGAAGAATGTTCCAAAAAGAAAGAAGAACATGAGTTGAAGCCCTGAGGTGGGCCAGACCTGAATGGAAGCCAGTGTGGCTGGGGCAGGGAAAATGAGGAGAGCTGGAGTAGAGGTAGGGCCTTGGAGGTCATTGTGGATTTTGAGTTGGTGAGTGGCAGCTTTTTGTTATCGCCAGCGCTAATCTAGCACAGTCCTTGGGCTAGACTGATTTTTCATTCAATGTTTATTTAATTTGAGTGAGCTGTGTTTGCTGTTTCCTTGCAAAGATCCCACCCTTTATCCTGTCTTTCTGTGGCCATGAGCAGCCTGGGATGGGCTTAGATCCTCTTCCTGGGTGCCCACGTCATGCCTCACATAGGAACCCTTTATCCCACCCCATGTAAGGTATTTCACTACCTGACTCAGGTTCATCTCATGGTTCAAGTCATTCCCCACCCCACCCCTGCTTGCACCACAGTCCAGGGATCCCCTTCTGCATCACTAGGCAACCTCCTTTTCCTGAAGCCTCCCTCAGTGGGAGCAGAAAATAGGGTCACTGTCTCCAGTTGGACTTGGTATAAATACCAGATCCTCTCAACTCTTCTGCCTGTTACCTTCCCACTGACATACCTGCCTGCCCCAAGTCTGTCCAAACTATCAATGTAACCAGTGGGTGGTACCCAAGTGTTCAGGGGGTTGACTCTGGAACAGATGCCTGGGCTCCACCTGGCCCCCTCCTTTGCTTGCTCTGTAACTTTGGGAAGGTTCTTTAACCTCTCTAAACCTCAATGTTCTCATCTGTGATATGGTGACAATAATGATACCTTCCTCATAGAATTGTTGTAAAGATTAAATGAATTGATAGTTGCAAAGGAATTCCAGTGCCATGTAATTACTAAGCATGCAATAAATGTTCACTCTTAATATCATCTCTGCTCATGTACTGCCTACGGTGGTCCTCCTTTAACCTGCTATCAGTTGTTATAGAAAGGGTTAGGTGCCCCTTTTGTGCTTATTTTTTGTGTTAAATATGCCCAAGGAACAAATAAGCAAGAGAACACAGGCCTTTAAGAGCTGTCAGTTCCAGATTATGGCCACTCTATGCCCAGTGATTGAAATGGACAGGAAAAACAATCCACCAGAAATATTTGTGCCTCCTCACCAGGATTGTGACTATATGCTTGCCTTTCTCCAAGGAGAGCTTTGGAGCTTTAGCATGCCTCAGTCTCCCTTCCTGGTATTTGGCACCTGTAGACTGTTTCATGGGATGAGGAGAGGGCAGGAAAGCCATCTCTGGGGCAGGGATGAGTTGGTTGAGCATGGGTATGGGCCCTCCAAGTGTGTGAAGAAGAGGAGGATGCCGCTCAGGAGTCTTCAGAACCAGGCTCCAGGTCACCCCATTGGCCTCCCACCATGTATCCAATTGCTGGCCCCTGAGAGACATTGAACATGTGTAGGGCATGGTTGTGGAGCAGAAGAGCAGCAGGTCTTGGTTGTTTCTTAATTGCATAGCTTGACCTGTGTGGACCTCTTAGGATCTAGAGAAGAGAGAAACAAGTAAAAATTGATGGCATATTTATCCATCAGAACTCCCCAAACCAATTTAAGCAAAAACTAACCAATCAGTAGAGCGGGCTTTGGAGCTGAAGGGTGTAAATTATGTCATCGAGACCTGGTTTTACTTTCACTACCTTCCAGCTCTCTGCCTCTGGGTTGGCCCTTTTCCCAGACAGGCCTTGCTTTTGGGTGGCAAGGTCACATCAGTAGGGTCTGAGCTCCTAGGTTCAAGTTACATTCCGGCATTTCCTCAGAAGTTCCACTCGCCCATTGGTTTGTCTGGGTTCTCATGTCTGTGCCAGAGCCAGTTGCTGGGGCAGGAGAGGCATGACATACTGACTGGCTCAGATCTTGGTCCCTTGCATTATCAGAAGCCCCGGGCTTAGCCCCACCTGAAGTCCAGGGACTGCGTGTGTGGAAGTGGTGAAAACAGGGACTGTTACTTGAATAAGGAAGAAGTAAGTAGATGGTAGCAAGAAGAACCACATGCCTCCTGCATGTGACCAGGGAAGGCCTTCTGAAGGACAGGGGCATGAACTAAGCCATGGGAGGAACAGGCTGTGGTTAGGCAGGACTGGGAAAGTGGGTCTGCAGGCCATTTGGTGGAGTCTGGAAATGTGTGCCAAAGGCTTAGAGGCCGGACTGTGGAGCGTGGTGTGTGTCAGAGTGTGGTATTTCCCGGCTCCCAGAGTATAGACATTGCCGTCTGTCCCATCCATACATTCAGCTTCCCACTGCAGAAGAGAACAGGGTGTGAAGAGTCAACTTGCCATGCGTCTGTGCGTCTTACTTCCCCCTCCGATCACGCGCCCTCGGGAGCTTGCTTCTGGCTTCTCTGTTCTGCGGCGCTGTGGCAGTGCTCCATGGCAGAGGAGTGGGAGAGAGGGAGGTGGGTGAGTGAAAAGTTGGGATAAGTCAGGACCCATGGGGACTTCTCTGAATAAGGCAGAGCTTGATCCAGGAGTTTCAGGGAGGCTGGATAGGTGCTTGAGCAGAGACATGGTGGGACAAAAGAGTTTTGGGGAGGTTCAAGAGGGCTTTTCATCCTCGTGGGCTTTTGTGGTGGGGATAAGACCCCAGCTTAAAAATCTCTCCCGTTAAATGTGTTCCTTCTGCTTGTAAACCTTGCAAAGAAGAGACACTTTTTTTAAAAAAATTATTTTTAGAGAGAGAGGAAGGAAAGGAGAAAAGGAAACACCAATGTGTGGTTGCCTCTCTTGTGCCCCCTACTGGGGACCTGGCCACAACCCAGGCATGTGCCCTGACTGGGAATAGAACCAGCAACCCTTTGGTTTGCAGGCTAGCACTCACCACTGAGCCACACCAGCCAGGGCTGGATACTTTTCATCTCTCCTCCCATTTTAGGCCCAGCCAGGCCTGGGCCCGTTGGCCCCACTGGACCTTGTGCCCAGTTCTGCAGGTCTGCAGGTAAGTGAGCTCATGGAAAATTAGCATTCCAATCTGGTGTTCATTCCTTCCTCCTATTCTGCCGCATTGGGAGCTGTGCAGAGTGGAAAGAATGACAAGTACCTCTCAGGCTTCTCCTGAGGTCTCCTTCCTTCCCCTGGCTTCTCTTCCTGCCTAGCAGATCTCTCTAGTCCTCACCTGCCCTCATCTTCACCTGAGAGAAGCCAGGCTCAACATATCTGCCCAGAGATGTCACCTGTTTCACTAGACTTAGACGAGGCAGAGGGCGTGGCAGTGGCAAAGGGAGAGGAGCTGTACAGGTTCCACAAGTGGAAGTTGGGATGCTGTCACTCACCATTCCTGTCAGCCCCATTCTTCCCTTTCTCCTCCCTTTCTCTCTACTGATTAGCACCTGGTGGCTCCCAAGGTTAGGAAGCACTCAGTCAGCTGCCTGCATAATTAGCAGATCATTCTTAATTATCCCTATGAGTGGAGAAGATAAAGATGAAGGCAAGAGCCCAGATTCAGGGTGTGCTGTGCCTGGGGACAGGACAGGCCAGGGGAGGAGAAGCAGCAGTTATGGGCAGGAAGAGGGTGCTTCCTCCCTTCCCACAGCCTCTGCAGACGCTGATCTGATTGTGAGGAGCTGCAGCAGCACTGCAGAGGGCCTGCTGGACTTTACAGGAAGGGGATGGAGAGTCAGGAGGTGGAGGGACAGGGCACCCAAGTGCTGCCCTGGCCAACCTGTCCCTCTCCTGCTGTCATACCAGGAGGAAAGTAGTCCCTAGATGCCTCCAGGAATGCCTCCCACCGCAGCCAGGGAGCTGCTTACTGTTGTTCTCCCTCCCCTCCACCCTCCAGAGAATTCTCTTGCAAAGTGCCCATTGCAGCCTGGAATTTTCCTTCTCTGTGTAAACCTCTTCCGGCTTTCCCCTGAATGCCTAGAGTCCCTCACCTCTCCCTCCACTTCATGGGTACTGATAGCAGATGGTACCCACAAACTTAGCGTATGTTGGCTGGTACAGAACACTTGACACATATTCACTCATTTTTAACCTTTACAGTAATCCCATGATGTAGAAATTCCTATTCCCACTTTTTAAGTGGGAACACCTATTCCCACTGAAGAAGCTGAGGCCTAGGCCAATTAAGTAACTTGTCCAAGGTCACTCTGCCTCTAAACAGATGTTAACCCAGGTATGTAGGGCATTGTAGTTATTTATCTCCCCAGTAAAATGGAATCTCCTTGAGAGCAGATGTGTGTTACCTGATTCATCTCTGGTCCAGGCTCTGAGCAAACTGACTGAGCCGGTTCTGTCCCCATTGCTGACGGGGGCAGCCCTTCCCTCTGCTGGGGTCTGAGCAACATGTTACAGGGACATGGCTTCTGTGATGAACTTGGAAACTTACCTATTTTGAAGCTGGCTGCCAAGCCAAGGGGCTCTAGATCAGGAGTGGCAAACAATTGCCCTTTTGCCACCATGTCCGGCCCTTGTGGTAGGCATTGCTAATTCATTGTTGCAGTCAGTTCCAGCCCCTTTGCGGCCTAACAGTCCTTCCTAGCACAGCCTGCCAAACAGTCACTGTCAGTCAGCAGAGATGCCATGTGGACTGAAAGCTTTCTCATCTGGGGCCTGTACTCTTCTGAGCACCGTGGTGCATCACATAAGAGATTGGACTGTCTACAAGCTTTGTCAAGAGACTAGCCATTACTTACACTTACAGATTTTTGGATAAGAAAAGAACCCTGGAAATCCTGTCTTCCATTCCCCCGCCCCACACGGGCATTTCCCTTGAAGCATTCCTGATTGGTGGTCATGCAGCTGGAATCAGATTGCTTTGCAAAGCTCTGCAGCCCTTTGCGAGAGTTCTTATGCAGAACCAAGTTCTGCTTTCTTGTAACTCCCCCCACAGGTCCTTATGCTGCCCTCTGTCTGGGGTGACAGAAGAAGCCTGATTGTTTTCCACCTGGCGGGACTAGTGGTATTTTTGATATTTGGAGGGAATTATCATATTCTCTAAGCTACCTCGTCTGTAGCCAGACATCCTTCGGTTACAGGAGTTTCTCACTCATCACCATCCTCATTACCCTCCTTTGGACGACGTTCATTAACTTGTCACTTTCTATTCAGCCAGTGTTTATTATGTGTCAGCTACTGTCCCAGGTGCTAGAGATACAGCACTGAGAAAGGGAACCGTCTCGGATGGAATTGAGTCTCTTCCAATGTAGACCCGGTTTGAAGGAGATGGGGATGAGTTGGTGCCTGGCACAGGTTAAGTTCGTGGATGCAGGGCGCTGTTTCCCCTCTGGTGTTTCTGAGAGAGTGGATGCTCCCTGTTTATTGAAGAAGGTAGAAGAGGAACCAAGAGCTGTCTGTCATAAGATTGTAGTTCCTTTTTAAGCTACTTAACATGCTTTTAGCTCACCCTGAATTTATACTTAACCAAACCTCAGGTCTTTCTCCCCCTGAACTACTGCTCAAACTCCCCCTTCTGTCTTTGTGTGCTTGACTTTCTAACCTAAATGCTTGGCTGCACATTCACTTCTGGTCAGTTTTATCTTGTTGGTTGTGTTTCATTCCTTTGGCCTCAGGATTATTTGAGTCTTGATTCCTTCCTGCAGACCATATTTGACCCTCCCCCATTTGATAGCTCTAGTTTGCTGATCAGGTGGTGAGGGCACCAGATGGGGCCCTGCCACGGACCTTTGTGTAAGGCTAAAGTCAGTCCAGTTTTCAGCAGTGCCTTACAGAGTGTTGCTCATCTGGCCCTGATTTTCCTACATGGACTCCTCCAATCCCACAGCCTGATCTGTCCACAGAATTTTCTGAGAAGTCGTCAGAATCCTTGCTGAGTCCAGATGCACTGTGTTTGAAGTTCTCTTCTGACACGCCAGTCTGGTGACCCTGTGAGGGAAAGACATGCCGTGCATTGGGAACAGTACTGGCCCCTGGTACCTGCTTCTTCCTTTCTAAGTGTGTATAGACCCTCTGTTTAATAATCCATTCTGGAAATTTGCCAGGGTTCATTGTTAAGCTGGTTGTTTATGATTTTAAGAAATGAGCCCTTCTCTCCTTAATGGAAGAACCAAAACAGAGCAGCCTTTGCCTGTGTCCAGGTTTGATGTCCCTCCCTCTCCACATCGGCTTTGAGTGGAATGCTTATGCAACCACAGGGGTTGCTTCAGTGCCCAGGGCCAGAGTGGCAGAGTGGAAACCAGAGGGCAGAGTGGGAACAGCTTGTGGCCGAGTACCACTTCCCTGTGGGTGGAGACCTTTCTTCCTGCCAGGAAACATGGAGCTCGTGCTGGAACAGATGAGTAGTTCTGTGTTCTGTTGGAAGGAAACTACCCTCTTGTTCTTTCTCTGCATTGCTGCCTGACTCAGACCAGTCTGTCAAGAAAAACTAAGCTGCTTTGGGGGCCTGCTTGCACCCCAGCACCCATCTCCTTTTCCACCTCTGGCACATGAGAAGTGGGAGTAATAGAGAGTCTTCATCAGGATGGAAGCCCCTAGGTTGTGAAATTAGCTGATGGGTGGGGACCAAAACCAGGTAGAGTGGTGAAGATGATTTAGGAAGGTTGGGCCAGAGTAGACTGTCCATTTCAACCTTTAGAGAAATCTCAGCGTCCCCTGGCCCTGCAGTCCCTCCCTTCCCCCTCCCACCCCCCGCAGAGGCAACAGCCCCTCTGCCAGCCCCTCTGCCCCTGGCATATCTTCCCACCTGCCCCCAGGCACTCGGCTTACAACACTGCCTCATTTCCCCTGCCTCTCGTGTGTGCTCGCTCCTGCCAGGTGAATGCAGAGATGTGACTGCTCTGAATGTGGGATGTGGTGGTTGTGGGCAGGAACTAGTGTTCTTGTAAGTGGGAGAGCTTTTGAGGGAGGATGGACTGGCACACAAGAGAGTTAAGGCTGTGATGAGAAGCCCCTTGCTATTGCTGAGTAAGGTGGGGTCAGCGTAAGTGAGGCTTGTCTGCATTTATGTTTAGGTCACATGAGTGTTAGTCTTCGGTAACCGCAGAGGGGCCTGTACAGGTGCCAGGCGCTGATCTAGTCACTGGGAATACACAGGGAACAAAACAGGAGTCCTCAGTCCCCTGGAGCACATGTAGGCAAGAGACACATAATGTCAAGTGGCACTATGTGAAAGTAAAGCTGGGTGGGGATTGGAAAGTGGTGGGTACATGTTCAGATTTGAGGTCAGGAAGGCTTCAGCCAGGGCAGGGTTCCGTGAAGTGAGGGAGCGAGCCACATGAATGTCTGGGGGGGCAACATTCCATCTGATGCAAACACCATATGACAAATGCAAGTTTGGCATATTCGGGGAAAGCAGGACAGAGTATTGCGGCAGCTGACTGATCAGGGTAGGAAAGCAGGGGTGGAAACCTGTGAGCAGCCAGGCCACAACCATGAGACCCTTGGTCAGGACCTGGTATGTATTTACATGAGCCATTTGCCCTGTGGCAGGGCAGTCCCTCCTGAATGGGTCCAGGACTTGAATTTAGGTCCAGCCTTGCCTGTCACTCAGCCTTGCTGAACTTCGGTTTCCTTGTCTGTAAGTAGGTGAATGTGTCCATTTTAGTCATGATGATTCTGACTCTGTCTGCCCCAGCTCGAGGCTATAAACTCTAGGGGGCAAAAACCATGTCCCTTCAGGCACCAACTTGGGGCCAGGGTAATTACCCACCCCTACCTAGAGCTTCAAGGAACTTAGTACAGTGCATTCCTAGATCCTTCCGTTCAGATAACCCTTGAGAGGTCACCCAGGCAGTTTCAAGATTGACCCTAACAAGCAGGTAATATTGTTTTTTAAGAACCCTGGCTCAAGTCCCTGGTTTTTTACAGGTTTGCCGTTAGAAGCAGGAGGTGTGCAGGAGGCTACAGTGGCTTGAGGAGCAGCCCTCAGCTCCTGTAATCTTTTCCCTGGCAGGATCTCCCAGCGAGTAGAGCTGAGCCGGAGCCAGCTGCAGACCATTAGGGACAGGGTCTCCTTGGCCCAGGCCAAGATTGAGAAGATCAAGGGCAGCAAGAAGGCCATCAAGGTAGCTCATGCATCCCTGTGGCTGGTGGGCATTCGTAAATTTCCCGTTCTCTGCCATATCCCTGTGCCTCTGAGGTTGTCTGAGTCCCTACCTGTCCTCTCCAGCCATACCTCAAGCTTCCTTCCTTCTCAGAAAGAATGTCCCCATCCCAACCGTAGTCTCTCTGGCACTTTTTGGGGCCCCCGAAAAAGTAATGTCAGACTCTCCATGTGTCCACAGGTGTTCTCCAGTGCCAAGTACCCAGCTCCCGAGCACCTGCAGGAGTATAGTTCCATCTTCATGGGTGCCCAGGACTTTGGCCCGCAGAGACGCCCCCACCACAGAATTCAGAGCAAACACCGCCCCCTGGATGAGCGGACCCTGCAGGTCTGCTGGGCACATGCAGCTCACACACTGCATGGGGTGACTAGTGGCAGCACTGAATGTGGGGGAGGAACTAAGGGCCACCATAGGGTACTGTTCCCCCAAGAGGATTCTGATGAGATGGGGTGGAGGTTGTTGGTCTGGCCCTGAAACCTCCATCGTTCTGTTGTATTCCACACCCGCCCCCCAGGAGAAGCTGAAATACTTCCCTGTGTGTGCGAACACCAAGGTAGAACCTGACGATGAGGCTGAAGAAGGGCTTGGGGGTCTTCCCAGCAACATCAACTCCGTCAGCTCCTTGCTGCTCTTCAACACTACAGAGAACCTGTATGGCCAGAAGTGGGGCTAGGAAGAGGTGGTGGGAGGCCTGGCTGGCTTAGGGGGGCACTCAGGGGCACCAGACTCAAGTGCAGCAGAAGTCTGCAGCCCATAGAGCCAGGACCAGTTTGCTTTGCCTTGTAAGGCCTGGGAATCCATGGTACAAACTATCTGTGGCTTTTGGTGAAGTGGGAAAAGATCAGGACCGTGGGCCTAAAACAGATGACTGATTGCCTGAACTCCACCCCACCTCTGCAGGTACAAAAAGTATGTCTTCCTGGACCCCCTGGCTGGTGCTGTAACAAAGACCCATGTGATGCTGGGTGCAGAGACAGAGGAGAAGCTATTTGATGCCCCTTTGTCCATCAGCAAAAGAGAGCAGCTGGAGCAACAGGTAGCCATAGATGATGCTTTGGTGGGAGGGGGTACAGCTGGGTGAGGAGATGGGGTCCTGCCAGCCCTGCCAGGGTTTTCTAGGTGAGGGGCCTGTTGAGCCCTTCATACGATCCGGGCCCTACTGACTGGTCCAAGGTCAAACAGCAGCCCCCAGCTCACATACCCCCACTTACACCTGCAGATTCCAGAGAACTACTTCTACGTGCCTGACCTGGGCCAGGTGCCTGAGATTGACGTGCCATGCCAGCTGCCTGACCTGCCAGGCATCGCTGACGACCTCATGTACAATGCTGATCTGGGCCCTGGCATTGCCCCCTCTGCCCCTGGCACCATTCCAGAGCTGCCTGCCTTCCCCACGGAGGTGGCTGAGCCTTTCCAGCCAGGTGAGCGAGAGCCAGGAATGAGAGTTGGGCAGCTTTCTTCCTAGGCACCTCACATTTCTCACACTTGTTTCAGACCTAGAAGATGGGGTGCTAACAGCACCTCCACCACCACCACCCCCACTGCCACCTCCCCCGGCTCCAGCAGTGCTGGTTAGTGCTCCGCCGCCCCCGCCCCCACCGCAGACCATGGCCTCTCCAGGTCACGATGCCCAGGAGGCTGAGAGCAGCTCATCTCCTTTAGGAGCACCAGCAGGCACGTGGATGCATGTGGGGGTGGGGGGTAGGGCACTCTCTTTGAGGGTGCCTCCAAATTTCTGGATCCCTGAAGGATTTTCTTTAGTTTGGTTAAGTGGCCATAAATTCTACAGTTGCAGGATAGTTCTAATTTTAGATGAACCTAATGTTCCATTGGATTCATTAATAGTGGTTTTCAAACTGTGTCCATAGAGCTCTGGAATTCTATGCTTCAGGATGGAGGGTGCCTGGGCAGATGGGGCTTGTGGGTCCCCCACTTACACCAATGGAAAAAGAGGGGCTGCTAAAATCATTGAAAACTACAGGACAAAATATCCATGGGTTCCTTAAATTGCAAAATTGCAGTTTTAATATATGTCCCAGTCACCTCCCCCATGCAGAAGTAGCACAAAAATTCCTTGTTGGATCACGTGTCACAATTCGATGTTCAGCATATCAGAAACTCTCAGGGCCCCTCTGCAGGTGGCAGCTAGTCTGGGCAGGGATCAGAAAGGGTCCTGGGCTCCTGGACACGGGACTTCCTGAGCTCAGACGGATGCAGTCAGCATCCGGCTTCCTCTTCACGGAGAGCCCCTCCTCACAGCCAGGCTGCGGACGGCTCCTCGGGACCCCCAGAACTTCACACTGGGCAGGGCTGCCCCACAGCCTAGCCCTGCCTGAGCAGCCTTCCTTCCCACCCCCACCTCCAGTCCAGGGAGCTCCCAAGGAAGTGGTGGACCCCTCCAGTGGCCGGGCCACTCTGTTGGAGTCCATCCGCCAGGCTGGGGGCATCGGCAAGGCCAAGCTCCGCAGCGTCAAGGAGCGCAAGCTAGAGAAGAAGAAACAGAAGCAGCAGGAGCAAGGTGAGAGGACCCTGCTGCACCCACTCTAGGAGGGCTCTGAGAAAAGGGCCACCTTTTCCAACCACCACCAGACTCCAACAGGGTGCTCCTTGCCACCCACATGTCGAAAGACCAGCCCCCTGCTGTCCCCTGAGTGAGTGCTGGAAACCCTGGGTGGCCACCCTGACATCCTCGTCTCTGCTGCCTGGGCAGTGGGTTCCTGCTGGGTTTCGGAGCCTGCTGAGCAGAACTTTCCTCTCTACACTGATAGGCGACAGAGCCTCATCCAGCTCCAAGTATAAGAGAGAATCTTCTCATACTCTGCCAGTTATCCAAGGAATGATCAGGACCTGAGATATTTGAGAAACAGAGGACCTGAAGGGGTGGCTCAGTCTTGGTTCTCTAAGCCCCTTGGGGCTACAGATTTCTTCCACTGGGATGCTGGCAAGAATATGACACCTGGGCGTGAAGCAGCAGTCCTGCACTTGAGTCCCAGCTTGGCTTCTGAGCTTTGCACTGTGACCTGGGCAAACTGCATGACACTCTGGGCTGCTCGTTGGTGCCCTTTGTCTCACAGGGTGGCTATGCTGGTGTTACTCAAATGTTAACCATTTTCTTATCAGTGCCCTGGTGCTGGATCCACTTACAGAGTGAAGCTCCAGGAGCCAGTGGTTACCTGGTGGCTGTGGAGAGGGCTGGGTGTGTCAGTGATGAAGAAAAAGAGGACAAATGTGACCGAACCCTGAGGTTGTCACCCAAGAGCAGGTTTCATACGTGGTCCCTTACTCACTGGTGGTTTTTCCTGTTGCAGTGAGGGCCACAGGCCAAGGTGGGGACCTGATGTCGGATCTCTTTAACAAGCTGGCCATGAGGCGCAAAGGTAGGAAGCGGGGCACCGCTGCCTTCCAGGGACTTGGGGTATTGGTGCATCATGTATACTCTGCCTTTTCTTGTTTCTAAGTCTCCAGGGGCTTCTGAGTCGCTAGGGACTTGGTGACCTGGTGTTGCAAAGCACCCCCCTCACCCTCCACCTCTTTCCTTCCAGGCATCTCTGGGAAAGGTCCTGGGACCGGGGCCAGTGAGGGGCCAGGAGGAGCCTTCGCTCGAATGTCAGACTCCATCCCGCCTCTGCCTCCTCCACAGCAGACACCTGGAGAGGAGGACCAAGATGACTGGGAATCCTAGGGGTTCAGCGGCTCCTTCTTCTCCCCAAACCCAGGCTATAGCTCTTTCCCTCACATGGGAAGAGCTGGGATGGGCTCCTTGGCCTGCAGGTGTCTCAGTCCCTGCTGCCCTTGGAGGGATGGGGATCTTGGAGGACTTCCAGGGCTGTGGCTGGCCCTCTTCAGGAAGCAGGGAGGCTGGCTCCTGAGGGGTGGGGGAGGGGGCCCTGGCTCCATGCCTGTGCTCCACCCACCTCCTTCACTGGTGTGCTCTGCTCCTCCCTGAGACTGAGATACAGCAGTGCACAAATCAATAAAGAAGTAGAAAGCAGAAATGCGCATCAACTGACAGTGCACTTTTCTTTTTTTTTTTTTTTTTTTTTTAAGATTTTATTTAGTTATCTTTAGAGGGAAAGGGAAGGAGAGAGGGAGAGAAACATCAATGTATGGCTGCCTTTCGTGCGTCCCCTGCTGGGAATTGGCCTGCAGGGAACTGGCGTGCAACCCAGGAATGTGCCCTGACCGGGAATCGAACCGCGATTTTCTGGTTCGCAGGCCCGTGCTCAATCCACTGAGCTACACCAGCCAGGGCCTGACAGTGCACTTTTAATTAAGGAACTACAGCCGAGTAGAGCACAAACGTCTCCAAGCCAGGGCCTCTCCTCCTGCTCCCCCTGGTCTCAGGCAATGAGGCAGGGTACGGAGGGGACCAAGGCCCCTTTCTCTGGGGTCAGGCAGAGAAAAGGTGTAGTGAACAGGGGCAGCTCCAGGGGCAGTTGTTGCAAATGGGGGAGGGATATTCTCACAGGAAAAATTGCCTGGCCGACAGACATAGAGTATCTAAAAGCAGTCATGCTGAGAGCCTAATGGCCCTTGGTGTAATTGATGATGTCAGGGGAAGAGGTGTCTCAGGGTCTGCCTGTGTGGCTGAGAGGGGGAGAGGTGCTACTGAGTTGCAAGACCTGGTGCTCATCCAGGGGGATAAGGATGCTGTGCAGGACCTGAACAGGTCAGGGAGCAGCCTAGAAGTAAAGGAGTAAGGCCAGCAGGTGGCGCAGCAACACACGGCCCTGCTCCCAGTTCTCTGTGACTGATTTCTCATGGTGGTGTTTAATTCCCCGATGGCAGTTGGATGAAGTCACCAGGAGCCCAAGGGCAGAAGGGGAGGCAGCAGAGGCCTGCTCCACCTCACCTCTGATGAAGTGGATGCTGAGAAACAGTCAGGGACAGAGATGCCACAGTGGAAGGTGCAGCTTCCACAGCTGCCTGGAAAGGCTGGCCAGGAAGCAGGGCAGGGAGGACACTGGGCTGTGGTGGGCAGGAGGAGAGATCCAGCTTCTGGGAGGGGCCCAAGGATGGCCAGGACCCAGTGCTCAGGAGTAACCTAGTTTTTGCCTGTTGGCTTCTGTGCCTGTTCCTGGGTCCTGGCAGCCCACTGATTCCAGAAGCGGGCTGGTCTGCGTGCCAGACAAGCATGGCCATCCCTCAGGAAAGGACAGACTTCTCGTGATGAAACTGGGGAGACAGGGCAAGACCGTGAAACACTAGATGGGGGTCTCGGTGGGGAGTTTTCAGGGAGGGAAAGGCAGGACTGACCTTCTGCAAAGCAGCAAAAGCAGGGCCAAAGGTGGCTTTGACCTCCACACAGTCTCAGATCCAGGTGGGCAGTTTTGCCAGGACAGGCGGATGGGCATACTGCTAGTCCAGCAGCACTATGCTAGCAAAATACTTTGGTACCTGATGGCCCTGCCTGGGTGGGAACAGGCTGGGGCTCTGATCAAACGTGCCTCCCGACAGAGCACTGCTATTCTGTCCCTTTCCCTTCCTCAGCCCCCAGAATGGAGAGATGGCCAGAAACAGACCCCATCCTGTCACCTCCCTCTTCCTCCCTCCCTCCGTCCATCTTCAATGATTCATCCTAATAGCGAGGAGAAGTCCCAGGCTCACCTATAGACTGATTGACAGCCCTCATACACCATTCTCCACCAGAGCCCTCCCGGGGCGGGCTGACCTGGGGCTTGGGGCTGGGAAGGGCAAAGGAGGTGACCTATCAGAACTGTTTCTTGCCTCCTGCCTTGTGTCCTGAGAAAATGACACTGCTGGGCCGTGAGAAAGACCAGTCAGCTTCCGGGGCACAATGCCAGCAGCTGATAGGGTGGATGATGCCATGTGCAGCTCCAGAGGGCATGGAGGGCACTGCCATCCCTCTGGGCAAACAGGAAACAGTGGCACACAGCAAGGGGTGGTGGGAAGTCCCAGCGTACCGTAGTTCTCGGGGCTTCTGAGCTCTCCCTGCCCTCTCCCCTCATCCTTTGAATACTGGAGGCAATCACAAGGGTCTGGTCCAGGTAGGCCGTCTTCTCTCAGAGCTCCGGAGACTTGATGTTGGTTGGGGTAGGGCATGCCCACAATGACCACACACCTAGGGTGGAGGCACACAGGAGCCAGAGGCAGCTGAGGTTCTCAAGGGCTGGGACGAGGGGCCGGGTCCTCACCCACAAGTCACAATGGCTGGTCTACCATTCTTTCAGTCAGGCTGTGCTCAGAGGCTTTGCATGTGGACAGATATGTTTCCCAGAACAGGGTTTCAGGATGCCTGGGTCACAGATCTGCGCCAGGCCTTGTTTTCCAGCCCAGAGAGCCCCAGGAGATTTGTGGACTCCTCTGGGCAGTGGTCAGGGATTAGACGTGTTGGGAAAAGCCCCCGTGTGTGAGGCCCGACTGTCTGGTTTAATGTGCACGAGAAATCCCAGAAGGAATTCTGGATTCACTGTCCCCATAGTAGAAGGTCCTGCTGAGGGGTCACTCACTTTTTTCCTGACAGCCAGGCAGGCCGGCAGGCCACTCTTGTCCCAGTGGACATGGACCTGGCATTGGTACTCATAGCAGGGGAAGAAACAGATCGCCACTCTGGGGACCACACTGCACAAGTGGCAGAGGACTCGACCTGTCTCATCCATCTAAGAAAAGAAAACAAAGGGCCTTCCAGGAGGCCACTCCTGAAGCCACACCCCCAAAAGGCTCCTAACCCTGGGGCTCAGAGCCAAGTACAGAGACCCACAGGTGAATGGGGTCAGGGAGGCCTGCAGCTGGGCATCGCCTCCCCCCACCCCACCCCCCGGCTGGGAATCATATTGGAAAGTGCGGCCTTCCCTACCAAACACGCCCAAGGGACACTCCCGGTGATGGGCAACATCTGACACCCATCACTGCTCGAGCACACCTGAGCTGCACCTTGTGTGGGTGTGTGCCAAGGCCGCCCTTCCCCAGCACCCCACGTCCTGTCGGCAATTTGGGATTAAGCAGCGTCTGTGATAGATTGGGCACTGAAAATCTGAGACATGCCACTAGAGAAGTGCCCCAGCACCTACCTCCCTGCCAGGCAGAAGCTGATATAACCAAGTGACAAGAGAAGCAAAGGGAATGAGCCACTTTCTCATGAGCTTCATCCTACAGGGAAGGCTGGAGTTGTTAGGAAAACTTACTTAGCAGCCCAAGGGGTGAGGGGTGTGGGAAACTCAGACCTTCTGCCTCGGCCCGCGAGGCAGTCAATGGGGTCCGCCGATATACCTGTAATGGATGAAGGGGGATGGGACAGGAGGCGCGAAGAATGGCAGCAAGACAAAGGATTCTGATCAAGCTGCAAATTTTATTTCAGAATGGAGGGAGTTATATAGAGGAGGGCAGTGGAGGAAGTGCAGTGGATAGGTGGCTTCAAAGCGTGCTCTAGCCTGCGATTGGCCGGGGGGATGCATGGCAGGCGCGTGATCAAGGCACTGATTGGTGTGCCACCCGCATGTCCAGGAGGGGGAGTTCTATGGCTCCTAACCGCAGCATCCTGTTATTCAGGTGCAACCTTCAGGTCGGATTGTATCAGCCTGTTTCAGGCTTATCCCAGCCCCCAACATCTCCTCCCTTATTTTTATTTTTAAGGTGAGGAGTGGACTTTAACCGGCTAGGGGAGGCAGAGGTCTGGCTCCTCCTGAGCTCGTCCCGAGCTCTGAAGCACCTTTTCGGAGGAGAGGGTTGGGGTGCTGACCTCTATGCAAGCTGACTTGCCTTTTTATTGCTTTGAGGGCGAGGAGAATGTAGATAGGGTAGACTTTAACTGGCTGGGGGAGGCAGAGGCCTGACTCCTCCTGGGCTCATTCTGAGCTTTAGGGTACCTTTTGGGAGGAGAGGAGTTGGGTACCAACCTCTTTGCAAGTCAGCTTACCTCTCAGGAGACTCGAAGTGGCCGTATGTACAGGCCTCTCCTTGCAGTGCTTTGCCTTGCACCCAGCGGTGTCTATCACAGCTACTTGGCTGTGAAGCATATCTTCGAGGGATATGCTGCTCCCGCAGGAGGAGAACCTGGCAGGAATTGTGGGCTAGCACCCCAGCGGCTGTATGGCTCAGAGTCCGCTCCATGTTCCAGCATTTCTAATTGTTGATAGTGCACCTGAATAGGTCTTCCTAGTACACTGTTAAGTTGGTCTTTGACTAAGTTAGTTATACGTCTAAGAATCCAGGGGGCAAAGGAGAGGATGAGGGTGATAGAAACTAAAGGTCCTAAGAGGGGAAGGGGGTAGGGGGAGAATTCCGTTAAGTCCACCCCAAAGGGTGTGTTCGGAAAGTTCTTTTCCTTTACAGACGCAGGGTTGTCCAAATAGGGCGAGGCAGGGGTTTTGGGGTGGTCCTTCTCGTCCTCCGTCTGTCTTTAGGTATGGGAGTGTTCCGAGTAGTATAATGATGTTTATTCGGTGCGTTCTGTTTCCTGTAATAGAAAGGAGAGAGAAGTCCCTCAGGGAGTATGGCTTATCCCTGGGTTTGATTAGATGCCGGAGCAGAGGCGAACATAGTCACAGAGCTCTCCTTGGCGATAGGGGCGGATGGCATTTTGGCAAGCGGGGTTGGCATTTTCATAAGCTAAGTGTTTAACGAAAGCGTTTTTACTTTCACCCGCGCCAAAGAGCCTCTCAGCTAATTCCTGTAAACGACTTATAAAATCACTGTATGGCTCATCTGGGCCTTGTCTTATTTTTGCAAGAGAAGTGGTTGCGGTACCTGCTTTAAGACCCGCAGACTGGATTTGGGTTAAAAGTCCGGGGGGAAATTGAGCTTGTCTCTCATTGTTTTGATAGGGGGCAGAGCCAAGAAACTTAAGGATGGTCCAATTTTTAGAGGGAGGATTTTCGCATATTGCGCTGGACAAACTGTTTAGCGATGTCTTCATATTCGCTTTTCCAAAGAATAAAGTCACCTCCGCTCAGCGCTGCCTTTGCTAGAAAGAACCAATCATTGGGCGTGAGCCAGCGCTCACTAAGATTTTCAATTAGGGCAAGGGAAAAGGGAGCTGTGGGCCCATAGTG